GCAAATTTTTAATGACAAGGGTTATCTAGTACTCGTAATTGCTGGTTTGAAATGTCGTTTGAAGTCCTTTATTGTCGATTCGTTTTCGAGAAAATTAGAAAAATCTCTATTTCTCTTAATTTGTTCAGACAGAACCATTTTGGAAGTGAAATCTGAATCAATAAATTAGTTCTCACTACCCCAAAATTGTCACAAAGGTAGCTGTTAGCAAACTAAATTCTTTTTTTCCCTTAGCAAAAAATAACTAAACAGGTATAACAATAAACACAGTTCGCCCAGGATACCTCTGTTGATGAAAAGAATGCGGAAAAAAATTCGGGTTGTTATTTGGTAGTTTCCGTTTTCAATTATAAGCGAATTGTAAATGTGGCAAACCCTAACGGGCAACATGTTGAACACTTATTTGAATGAAAAGTAGTATTTTCGTGTGTTTTTGTTTTCTATTTGAACAATTTGAGATAAATAACGGTTTTTCTAATTTTCTTGAAAACGACTCAACCAATTTTAAAGAATCCAACGTCAAAGCAAAGGACTTCGAAATACTATTCAAACCTCGTGTTATTTAAAATTTGTAAGGGACGACCCTGGGTGGCGGAGGGTGAAAGGGCGTGAAGTAGTTTTTGCTTTAAAAGTTGTCCCCCTTCACAGATGTTTTGATGTGTCTTGGCGTTTTTTCCTTTAATTAGTGATTTTCGATAAATCCGTGGTGGGAAGTTTTCAAATGAACACTCTGCATATATAATAAATGAAATAATGAACGAAGCAACATCACTACCTGAAACAATAGAGAAAAAATAGCTCACCTGGTACGGTCATATGAGGAGAATGTCTGAAGTAAGACTGCCAATAAAAGCCTGGAATTGGATCTTTAAAAGAAGAAGGAGAAAAGGAAGACGAAATAAATCATGGTATAATGGAATACATTCTGCGGTGAAAAAAATAGACATTGAAGAGGATTCATAATATACATACCATCAGACCACAAAAGCCATTTTACACTCGTGATTTTTTTTTGTGTTCCCCATTCACGGCTAATTAATATACATCATAGTCCATCTGCAATCTGTAGAGCAAACATAGCTGAAGACTGAGCGATTTAGGAAGGGAGACATTTGATCATCTACAGATATGTTTCAAGCACGGCTATGAAGGATTCCATCCACGCAGAATAGTGCCAAATCCACCATAATTCTTACTAGAATCTTCACTACTCCAGTAAGTATGGTGCCGGAAAGGTGTTATCACTAAGAGAAATACTTGAAGCAACTGCACAAATTTTACCAAAAAAGACGGGATTTGTCAATGTGTCTCAGTTCAGCTAGTACAAATATGTAATCTGGATAGTCATTCAATGCCAATGTTAGTCTGAAAATGCTTTTTAAATAATTCAAATGAAGATAAAGTGTATCACTATACATGCACAATAAATTGAAATAGTCGTTTCAAAATCACCCGTCATATTTTTCCAAATTTTTTTTTTTGCTGAGAATGCTTTCTTGACGAAAGTCAATACATTTGTGCCTCTCCAAATAATAGTTCGTAATACACGTCCATTGCAAGAACAACTTAAGTATGATGACTTATGATTGGCACTCCCATAAGGGGAGGAGGGGTAAAGGGGATATTTATCCTCCATCCCATAGACCTCATATTCAGAAAAACTATAAGGCCTCGTTTGTAAAATATTGCTTATTTTTCTCACAATTTGGTGAGTATATCCTAGAAAGCGCATTTTGCTCTCGCCAGACTGAAATCTTGGGAGTGCCACCGGAACATATTGCCTTTGGATTCACTATCGACGGCGGACACTTGAATATAGTATGTTGTAGTCACCGTTATTGGTGGTTACGTCATCAACATATGAAATAAGTAAACAGGTCGAGTCTCCGTACCATGGGCGGAACACTGCACAGACTAATCTTCAGCGCTACGCTCTCCAGTACGCATGAAGTGGGAACAGTGGACCGCCGTTTCATTCTCTTCCTGGAAATACTCTAATAAATTCGGCACGAGCTGTCGGCCTTCTTCATTGATCGTATTTCCGGGCATTGTACAATTTTATATTGAAGATTGTTATGACAACTCTAATTGTATACCGGTGTCAAGTAAGTTGTCACTCTGACAAATATGATTGAAGGGCACTCATACGGTACGACAAAGTTTTCGAGATGGAGACACACAACTAGAAAACGTATATCTTTGAGCTTACCGAGCAAACGTTCACACACAGGGGTAGGTTGCATGTGTACGTATGAGGGAGATAGAGATATATAAAGGGATACTGGTAGATTTACTTTGACCCTACAAAACCGGTGACCACAAATTTTGTTTTCTCTTCATATCCATGTGGTATATCTGCTAACTACAAAAATAAGGTAACGGGTGAATACGGTATTAACTTTGCCTCGTTCGATTCGCTCAAAAGCACATATTTGTTCTTGTTTCTTGTGTCTTATAAAAACCGTTGACTCAATCCTCCTCATTTGCATAAATGAGAAAGTACTCTAAGTATACGCATAATATTTCAAAAATCTTATATGAAATTACTTGTATTTAATCAGATTTGGGCCTAAAGAAAGACAGTTTCCTGTTGTGAAGTTTCACAGTCAGAACTGCTCTAGTCCAATAACGCCCTCAACATTGTACACGTCCTAGATATAAATAAACATTGGGACTGGTACTAATTAGCAGTAACAGATTGTAATGTAGATATGTCTATAGGGAGTTGTTGTGGTCACACAGAATATCGTTGCTAATGAGTTAATATTTAAGTCTAATTTCTAATGATAAGCGTCCAAAACTATGACTAGTATAACTATTTTGCTCAGGTTATGTACCACTAACCCTGTTTCTAGCTAAAACAAGTCAAGAACAGCTTTTCGAGCATTTCCGTTATTATTATTAATGAACCGTAAAGATTTCAATGTTTTGAGACCTGAATAATATATTAAGGCTGACAGTGTCAGTTTTTTTGTCTCCTCCAAATGTAAATTGTATAATTAAATAAAATCATAATACACAATATATATATATATATATATATATATATATATATATATATATATAAAATAAAAATAAAGTTTTAAAAATGACCGATTTGATTTCATATCAAATCGCACGATAGAAGAGTTCACCAAGTAAGAGCACGTACAATCTATAAAAAATAAGGGTCGATCGCATTATGAGTCAGTTTTGTGCTGTTAACAGACGTCTTTCAAGATCTCCAGTAGCCTCTCCAGTATCAAATACCCTATATTCCTTTACCCCATATCCCGATTGGAGACGAGCGAATCGTTATAAAAAATTATATATTGGTTACTCGCTGTCAGATCAATCTTTGTCACGAATGCCCCATACAAGAGAGGCCTACATTTTCTACACGCATCAAAGCCTACAAAGCTATAACTCAATATACAATATTGCGAGAAACTTCGACTAAACTTAGGTCGTAAACTTTTGCCACACACGTTTTTCTCAATATCCGTGCCCTTGCCATTTTTATAAAACCTTCTCACGTTGGAGAGTTAGACATCTACAGAAAAAATCCACTAAGCTGAGAGCTTCGCAGTTTCGAATTTAATTGATGTTATTGGTTTTTTATTACTACCAAAGGAACGGTGATTAAGTTGTTATATTTGGTGTTGGTCAACTTACTTAACTCAGCCAACTGGCTCTTAGTTTCTTTCTTGAGGTTTGTGTTCGTAATAGGTCCGAGTCTCTGAACCTAGCACGCACGTCAAGATTTTTTTTCGTCTATAGCCTATCTCGGATAAGACAACCGTTACAAGGTCGGCTAAATGGACGCAACGTCACTCAAAAAACGGCATTTAGAAAGAAAGTTCAGAAAAACTGTTTTCAATGTAACATTTGAAATATATCATGGGTTTGTCTCTCTGAGAAATCTCCGTTTTCGTTCGATGTTGTACAACTAAAACTAGTTCTCATCTCAGTAAGTCAAATACGTTAACAGTCTTAGCCTTCGGATTTTGGAGTATAATACTCAAGATGGTTAATGTTGCACAAAAAGCTCCTTTATTGTTTAGTTTGTGACTCTACCTAGTACGTGAAATGATATTCATCTTTCTATACAAAAATGTTGTGCACAGACAAACAGAAAACGACAACCTTAGCATGATTTATGATTTCATAATAAATACATTCATGAGACTAAGACCCCAAGCAGTTTTCACGGTACCTGGATATTTGTGACGGCTCTTCGTATACATATGGTGAGCTTAAAATTTGGCTGACGTAGTAATGTGTGCCAGAGAGATACGCGAGACGTCAGTGGTATTCAGATATTTCATATTTTATAGCTGCTCCAGTTTCATCGCCGTATTTTTATTTTGTTTCTTGTATATTTTGATCAGCCTTTTAGACATCTGTCACTTGGAACAGATAAATATATTGTCATTTGTCATTGCAGTTTGTTTTTCAACAAAACCAGGTGTCTGAAAATATTTCAAATCTGCATTTGTCGTTTCATTTAGCCTCTACTGGAATACGGAGATTCAAAATCATTCCTGTTTCCTTGCTGTATTTTATATGGCATTTAAAACTGAAATAAGCATAACCATTTCTTGAACATCATCATTTCTTGTAGATATGTATATAGGCTGCTCGCAACTTTGATACATTCCTCTATAGAGGCACACTTCTTGCAAAAGCAATTTCTCATAGGCTGATCTGAACATGTTTGCCTCCCGTGTCTGTAATCAAGACCAACCACAAAAAATGCTGATTCTTGCTTTTTATCACTCATCAGGAGGGTGTGGGTCTAGTCTCAAAGTCTCAAACGGAAAGCGAACAAGCTTTCTTCCTTCCTCTTAATTTCGAAACCTTCTAGGTTGCCACTTTCTAGTTATGTGAGTGCACAGCATTGTCTCGTTGAACTGACCTTGTAAATCTAGCCCTTTCCCAGAAGCCTCGGAAAGGGTCGAGTATAAAACACCCGCTATACACATTATTCTGCCTGTATCTAGATTCATAAATCCTTGGAGGTAGAAGCCAATTAATTGTAGACTTCTTTCGTATCATCATGTGTATCAGTATTTGGTGAATCGTTTATCAATACTTCATGTTTGAAGCACAATAGAATTTTCTATAAAAGATCCGTACATTTTTAGCGTGTATCTCAAAGTACATACAAAGTTATCCCGTGTGAAATTGTGATGCATGAATAGAGATGTATGTACTCACTCAGATTGCGACTTCTTGACGTCAAACTCCTGAAAGGTGAGTTGTACGATCTCGTCCGTGCTACCGACAAAGGTGTAGAGTAGACAGTCGATGTTTGGCGGGTAGGGTTTTGGAAAGTCCGGGCTCTTGAATGTCCCTTTCTCCTTTCCGAACGTCGTTGAGAACACGACGCATTCACAACCTGTAACAGAAGGAATACTTGTACAGAGACGTATTTGAAGGAGAACGTATAAAAATAACTGTGACATCAACGTAAATAATTAGAAGACTTCCTTTCCATGTTATTTTTTCAGCATAAGTTAAGATTTTTTTAAAAGGTAGATAGGCATTTAACTCTATTTCGGAATTAAGCACATATCGATACAAATCCCCATGTCCTCTAGTAGTTTTGACTAAACAGATACAAATACAAACAGAGATATACAGAAGGTATGATTTCAAAATTCTATATGTTCGAAACAACTTTCTGTTTTACTTCCCATGCCTACTGGCAATGTAGTATTGTAATCACGAAAATATTCGAAAATGATTTATTATGTTTTTTGGATGTTATACATCACGAGAAACCTGGTCACTAGTTTTCGTCTGCCTGTCGGTCTGTACTACTGGGGTGCGTTTGTAAATCAGTCGACAAAGTAATACCGTACACAGTAATGAAATGTAGATTGACAGATGGAATACTGTGAAACCTTATTTTTAGGACGCTAAATTATTGTAGAGTCATATAATGACACTTGATGACAGCCAACTAACTTCTAGCCATCTTTTCTGTGAGCACTGTATTTACTACAAGAGACCCTAGGGATACGAGATAGCATTTATCATGAAAAATATATAGTTTGCTAAGTTTGAGCAGTTTTTGGTAACCAACTAAAAAAAACAATGAACCATGAGAATGACAAGTGACAGAACTCTTATTCCCAAGGTTTTGAGCTCGGGAGAAAAAGCACACTATTGACGTTCCAGAAGGACTAGCTTGTTCTATTTCTGAACTCATGTAACAGGTAAGTCAAACAATTATGAACGCTACAGTTGTTACAGGGTAGTGCAAAGTACACTATGTAACAAATTACGAACGCAGCCGTGCTGAGATTCTCATGAATTTTTTACACAGTATTACTACTATGGCAAGGCCGACGAAGTCTTTTAGTTCTTGAAAACTGTGGCGATGCAGAAAAGGGCCAAAAAGGGAGAAAATAATCGTTTTCCAAAAATTGTAGGAGTTAAAAGGTGGGTTTTAAGGGGTTACAGGCTGTGAGGAAGAGCATTTCTCAAATTTTTGATGTTGGCATTTGTATACGCTTTCAATCCCAGTAATTCTGCGCACCTATTATGCAAAAACCCTTATAACTTAGACCTATCTCTAACAGCCGCATATCTATACGTGCGACGTTATGCCCAGATGGGCGAGCGTCATACGTTACAGTGTGCAATCGATTCCGCACTGCTGTGGGTTGTGTGCACTGTGCATTGCAACAACCACGTGCACCAGCAGGAATCTCTCAGGGGTAGAAAAAAGGTCATTCAATTTTTTGTTATCGTAGCTAACCTGTTTGTCAGAAGGGCTAACTTGTGCCAAACATACCCTTCAAGAACTGATGTCAGCGTTACGTGGGAAATACAGTCGACTTACTTGACGCCATGTTTTTAAAGAATCAGTACTGATCTGAGATCAACTGACTAGTAGTGTGCTGCCCTCATAAGCTAAACCCCCGTATTCGGAAATATTGGAAAGTGGCGCAATATAAATTTGAAGTTTCTTTTTGTTTGTAGCTTTAACGGACGTCCATGGTATTAATAATTGATGTCCATATTGAGTAATAAGGGCTCTAAAATTATGTGGTCTACATAAACAACCTTGTTTGATTGTTTTTACAAGTATAAATTGCCATACGAGAATTTTTTTTAGTTCTGTTACACCAATTTCCTATGCAATAACCCCGTATTTGGCGAATACGGGCATTTGTTCTAGGACATTATCAAATTTATATTTGTCATAATAATCGTATTTTTGATATCAGTCGTTGGGAATTGAGGTACTTGGTAGATGAAAATGAATTTAGTAACACACCAGCTTTTAATTACTTTATTTTATGGTGAACACATTAAATATAATAAAAGAACACTTACTAGATAACTTTTTCTGGAAGTTTCTCCCAAAATTCTTTCCTGTTACCTGGCATAATGGAACCAACCGCTTTAAGCAGGTTTTCAACTTTTTGACGCTCAAAGCCATTTGGTGCCGTTTTTATTGGGGCTGTTGGCATTTCACCAATATGTTTTTTTAGCAAAAAATCTAGTTTCTTCCATTCTTCCTCAAAATTGCGTTTGTAGTACATCACAAATTCAGTCCTCTTTACCATTAATTCCGTTATTTTACTCATAGTAAAACTGGGATCCTGTTTCTTAATTTTACTAACTGAATGGAGACTTTTCCACAATTGAAAATCATTCAGTTTCATGGATTTGATTTGTACGTTTCCCTTATTGCTGGACTGTACTGCCTTCTCAAAGTCTGCAAAATCATATGTTTTGACTTGACGCTTTAGTGATTCTTCTACTTGGTGGTGGAACGAATCCGCCGACATAAAGGTATGACCTGGTTCAAAATAGTTCAAGTGAATGGTCTCAGCGGATATACTTGTTGAGTTCACAATATAAACAAGAAAGGAGAATAATGCCCAGTTTTTATTCTGGCTGGAACAATTGTCCAACCATAGAGTGATATTGCGGACATCCCTGTGGTGAAGAAGAAATGCGTTGAAGGCACTAATAATATCTTCTTGGTGTCGTCCGCTGATGCCTTCATGCCACAATACGGCAAATGGAGGAAAATCTCTAATTTTACCAACTGGCACAAAACTTTCATTGTAAACTATTAGGCGAGAAGCAAAGATCGCTTTTTTAAACATTTCAAGTCTAGGCAACATTATTACTTTTTGAAGATCAACAGAAAAGCACAAATTTCCTTTGTCTTTGTTGCAGTTTTCCTTATTTAGTGAGTATCTCTCACGAGATTCTTTTGCTTTCATAATGTGATCCTTCCAGCTGCAGCATATCTCGCAATCATCACTTAAGGACTCAGCTTTATGTTCGGAATTATGCATATGGTACGACTCACAGAGTTCACATTCCTCATTTCCTAATTTTGCGAACGATATATTTTTCGCCTTGAGGATTTTTCTATATTTTTCATAGGAGCAAATTTAATCGGGATATCTTTTTTTAAAGTCTTCAAACATAAGGGTGACATTCAAGTCACTCGGCAAATATAGACGATTAGGAGCATGGACTCTTCTATAGTGAGATATAGATGGATTAAATGAGTCAATATGGCTTTCTATAATCTTATTAGACAACTTGTTTGGAGGAGGATGCCTACCTCGGCGGTCTAAATCATTTTGTAACTGATTTTTGCTATTAGCATTTGCCCACACCGAATGGATTATCCAGTCATTCGTTTTTTTATATCCCAATGTTGTTAGGAAAAATATTTTACAGACACGTCTTGTTGTACCACTAGAATCCTTCAGAAAATATGTGAATGTCTTGTTTTTCTTTGAACCTTCTACTTTTCTCTTTGGTGTTCTATTCTCTGTCGAGTTCATCACAAATGTTCGTTTTCCCTTCCAGTCCAACTTCCAAAATTCGTGATTTGTGGTGTTTCTCTCCTCCTCGGTAAAGAATGTCCGACATTTGAGCTTACAGTTTATACAGCCTTCTCTGACCTTATGAAGCGAGATTACCTTGTTTTTCTTAGTTTCAGCTCTCACTTCCTTGGACAGTTTGTATTTTTTTCTTTTTCTTTCTTCGCCTTTTTTTGTGTGGCCTTCAACTGTTTCATATGGATCTGAAATTATACCTTACAGGTGCAATAATGCTTGCTGTAGTAGTAGATAGTACACGCTTATCTGCTTCCTCATACCCTTTAGTTTCATTCTCCTCTTCTACAATCTCTGTTTCTTCTATTATTTGATTTGCATCATTTTTCATAGGTTCCCTTCTATTCTCATCCCCACGACTATCGTCTTCCATATTTTGAATATTTTTTTCTTCCACTTCCACATTTGCCTGACCATCCACTAAAAAGTAGAAAAAAAGCTATCACTCTCAAAAGGACGGTCTATCGAACAGTAGTTGCTGGTATTTTTAATAACTAGTATGCTGTGCTCACCGTAACTTAAAATATCTCTGAGATTCCAAGATTCCTTGTCAATCACATTGTTAGATATATCTTGCAAGCAGTATCCTTTATTTGTGGAATGATGTTCTGGATCTGAAAATGAGCTATTTTGAATCAGGTCCTATCTTTATGTCGGTGGATTCGTTCTATCACCAAAGTATAACAATTACTATAACATCAGATCAAAACATATGGTTTTGCCGATTTTGAAAAGGCAATTGCCCAGTAACAAGGTAAAAGTACAGATTACATCTATGCATGGTAGTTATTTTCAATTATGGAAGGATTTCTATTCGGTCAGTGGAATTAAAATATGCACTAGCGTAGCCAAATTTTAGTTTTACTCACCAACAGTATCAGCTGAATCCATGTATCGAATAGTCATCGATCCATTATCAATTACGCAAGTCTTGGTAATTGGTATGAATTCTTCCATCTGTACATCCTGTAGTACATCTTCATCACAATAATAATTCTGAGCGCTTAAGCAAGGCTCTTCCTCTGAATTCACTGTATTAACTTTAGAAATAGTAGCCAGGGAAACTAACTTTTTTCCTCTGCTTCCGCTACTCCATGAGCACATTGTTCTAGATTTTATAAAATCGTTGTGGTCGAAATTGAGATCCTAGGGTAAAGCCACGCCACGTGCCACTTGGAGGTTACCAGCAAACTGATATTAATCAAACCGCCTGCGCCTGCACGCGTTGCGTACGACAGGTGGCGACAGGTCGACTTGCTAGGCTTAAACCACGTATTTGGAAGTTCCTAGACAAAAACCCCGTATCCAGTTAAAAATACGAGGAAAGCTCTTAGTAAACCACAAATACGGGGTTCGGCATTAGTATTTTTTAATTTTTTTGCGAATACGGGCTTAGCATTACTTGATTTCATACATTTCCGCTTCAGATACGGTTTTTTAACATAGAAAAAACGAAAATTCACGACATTTTAGTACAGTAGAGCCAAAAATCTCGTTTTCGATTTTTTTTCAAATACGGGGGTTTGGCTTAGGAGGGCAGTGTGAGTATGCTGTAACCAGAAGGTTTAAAAATGTAGATAAAGTGAGAGCTTCAAAATTCCGGACCATATAAACCTTTTTTTTTGTTTTTCACTTATATCTTCAACTTTACTGGATCTATTAGTGAAAACTCTAACGCTTTTCAGCTCTTGACACATTTCGTTTCGTACAAAACTTATAAGAAAACTAGTAGTGGTTTCCCACTTTGGGGAAGGCTACGGGACAGGGGGATAACATTTTTCAAAAACACACAGTCAGTCTGAATGTAAAAACTTTGCAACTGACAGGTTTTGATAAGGGCTTAGCAAATAATAATTCCATCGTTCTACAAATCATGGCCTACTAATACTTACACAATATTTACCAAGACTGTCGTATAGCGACACATTTTTTGAAGTTATGAATTTTAGACTTATTTAAAATACATATCATGTGTTATATACTTTTGTAGGGCTTATACAACATTCAATCAAACGGGAAAAGGTATACAGGGTTGAAAAAAACCTTAATTTTATTTATAGCTAAAAATTGACATCTTATATCTGACTATGGCACAAAATTCTACGAGAAAAATCGTATGTGAGTCACTCTTTGCGACATGTTGAACGATATAGAAGATACGAAGTGGATCCCAAAATGCAATATTTTCAATTTCGCCTTGTCTGAGAAACGAAGGGGGTATGAAAATTTTTTTTACATCATCTTTCGTTTCACCAAAAAGTATCACAGTACTGCGAGAACCAGATTTCTATGTCTTTACTAGTAAGTGTGATACCCCGTAATATCATCGAAAATGGGACACCCTGTAAGATTAGACACCAGATTACTACTACGGCAAGGACTAAAATGCTTTTTTAAATCTTAAAGACCGATCCTGTGGCAGCGGAGCTATGACGAACAAACCAAAGAAAATATAATCATTCGAAATAGGCATATTCATATTTTTGGCTATCTTTTAATGATAGTAAAAGAGGTGTGTAATTGGCGAATATCTGATGGTCGCATGCAGTATTGCTGTAATATGCGAAAGCAATTTCGAAAAGTGAAGAGATACTATTGTTTCACCTAGATCCACCCCTGCTTATACCGAAGGGCTGCTCGAAAAAATGCATTATCTAGATAAGGTTTTCTTGTATATACGTACTGTGGTTTGATGGAATACATATCCTCTCTACTCCCCGACGGAAAAGGTTTAGTTTCCATTCACAAAAAAGGCTAAAGGGATTTATTTATTTATCAAATTTCAATCTAAAATGCTAATCGAATTCTCTTTGTCTAAAATGTAAGAAAATAAGGTAGATACTAGCAATACAAAAACTAGTAGCAGTTAGATTTTATGTGGGTATAGCATCTAAACGTATTCTGAGAAATGTATTGGCGATAGTCAGAACCATGGAAGGAAAATCAGGGTTAGGACGCAAAGTATCAGCCCCTCCGGCCAATGCTCTTCGAATAGCACAGAATAGGGTAATTTTTTCATTTCTACATCAATGGTAATTCAAACTTTTGGGTTGCGTCACAAAACAGAGATACACTTCTCAACTCAGCTACCTTCCTCGATCCCTGAATATAGGTATTGCTCTATAAGTTCTGTAATACTGTCCCAGTTATGGATTTTAATAATAATAGGTTTTTCAGATGCTGGAGAATAACTTATGAGTTAAATGCGTACAAGAAATTTAGTCTTGAAGTCCTGATATTCAGCTATCACATTACTTGTAGACTAAATTCGGATATAAACTCCGATAATTTATGTTCGGGAACCATGCTGTTTTATGCATTCTTCTTACATATTCAATAAGCATGTGTTACACAAATATGTTGTTCTGTCATGGTTTTGTTATAGTTTGTAATTTCATCAGGCGTTTGTGTAGTTTCGTAAGGCGAATGATATCTGTTCAGTGCTTGCTGTGATCTATCAGGTGAATGCAAGAGGTGCCCGTGGCTCCACTTATGTCCCCGGTTGGACCTTAAAATTTGCATGTTTAGCATGATATTGTATACAATTTTGAGAATTTTGATGAGCTTCCCCACTCCCACTCCGGGGAAAAACTAATACCCCTGCTATTCAAAAAATTTTGAGGGCAGTTGTACCTTCACAAAAAAATATATTTCGCCTATGACCGGCACGGGTATCATGTATCTTGAAAAGTGACGTTATACCGATTTTTTTATAATCTGTTTTTTTTACATTATGTAGGTTTTTCTACAAGATGTTAACTTAGCACTTAGATGTACATGTTGCCTAAACCTCATGTGGCTTCAGTTATCAATGTTTGGCTCTGATGTGACGTAAAATCTGCTGCAGAGATGGCAATACTGGAGGTCTAAGCTGTAAGTTGTATGTGTTGATGATAATTCCATTGGATTCTTGTCTCAAATACACTTGATCGAGATTCAAAGCTAGAAACTAGTTGCGCAGCCACTTTTCCTTATCCATTCTGGAGATTACATATAAAAATTTGCTGAATTACAAAAATGAGAAAGATAAGAAATAATAATATACACTGTACACTGTCGAACTATAAGGGTATACATGCTAACAGTACACACAACGCGGGCGCGGTGATGATTTCCCGTAATTCTCCTCAGTTCTTCGTAATTTATAACTTTGAACATAACCTCTCTTCAGAAAGTACAAAATACAAATAACCCATCGTATTCAGCATATTTAGTAATGATTTTCTCACACAGCAAATATCACTGATTTTACACACATGCAGACCAATCTTGCTATTCAACCAACTTTCTTCTCAGAGATAAAAGCTACAGACACGGACCACTGAGCCTCACAAATGCAACCAATAATGCGTGTAGCTTAATTGAGTGATTCCTCCATAGATGGACGTTCACAACGATCCTAGTGGGCAAACGTGGAATTACTATTTGCGCGCTAAAAACTACCTAATCAGATGACATCTTATAGGTTTTTTTTTGACGTTTTATAGGTTTTTTTACATGATACCCGTGCGGCGCTCAGTGACAAAAATTCCTGCGGGCGCCATGTCCATCAGTATGTATTGCTAAATCTATCAGTGTCATTTGAATCCTATGTAATCTTATACATCATTAAATAGTGAATTACATCAATACAATATGCTAGACGGTCCATGAGATCCACAAGTTTTGATAAATGCTGACTGATAACAGCAAATACTGTAGATGTAGCATAGTATTAACTGAACTATATTTAGGAATAATAACGTTGAGAAACAACCTTGCTATTTTCTTATCATATTTCATAGTAAGTGCACCATCACTTTATTTTTATTTCATTTATAATCGATGTTATGAAAATAATGTATTGTTTCATTTATCATAATCTAACCAAGAAAAAACAATTCATTGCAATATGTCGGCATCAACTGACAGGTAACGGCAGTTGACGTGATTTATATTTAATGCAACACGGCGGCGATGGGCTTTCAGTCAAATTTTTCGAGTTCTTTCCGTGTATACCAAATGATGTATTATGCGCGCTAGTGGGCGCTCGGACTTGAGACCATGGCAGCATTTCGTATTTGCACTCGGTCCATGTAATTTTTCGTCTAAATATTGAAAAAGGTAAATGTCGATTTTTTACCGTATAGGACCAAAACTTTTGTACGTTTTGAATCAGATGTTCCAAATTGTGATGTACAGTTTAATTTGTGTGAGCATTTTATAAGGTTTTTTTTACTTTAGTTTGTTTTTCTCATTAGTCTCGTTGTGGGAATGAGATTCAGGTGACTCTCATTCCCCGCAAATGATCATCATTACCCCAAAGTGCAGAATTAAGTACCTACATCAGTCTCATTTATTCTGGGTTGGAAAAGTACGATTCAGAACAACACAGAAGTCTGTCTGGTCTTCTAATATTTTGCAAAAAGCTGTGCAGCGTTTTAAACAAAGTTGCTGTACAAAGAAGCTGCCAAAATAAGGCCATCCCATTTTCAGGTCGTCAAAAGAGGTACAAAAATGTTCTATGTTACGACGAGGTCTATGACGTCAGGATGTCTTCTTTTCTGCAGTAGAAGCTGAAGTAGCAAGTTTGGTGGAGAAAATATTGTTGAAAGCTTAAGCTTAAAGAACAATTTTTACAAATCGTCAGAGATTGATCGAGACTGATCGAGAAAGAACAGGTATTTTAACGGTAACAAGCCCCCGGAAAAATTCTAGCCACAAAAGGACAGAAGAGAGTGGTATCTATAACCAGCATGGAGAGGTTAAAAGCATCTCCTTGTTTTGTGCAATGAGCACTGCAGACAGATTCATCCCCCCGTTTTTTATTTTCTCTCGGAAAAGATTGATTCTTCTACTCCAAAAATATGACCTAGCAGGAGATCTTTACAAATGTTCAGGCAAGGGTTGGATCAACCAAACTCTCCCTCTTGGGTGGCCGACGCACTTTAAACAGTACGCTAAGCACTAGATAAGCATTTATCTTTCCACCCACAAATATTACAAACATAATCTCATTCATATGTTGTCTCTATCACATACGTCCCATAGATTTAAGCGCTGGAAGTTTTGATCAACGTGTCTCTCAAAATGGCTCACAAAAGATAACCCCTTATGACGTAGCA